TCAAAAAGCGTTTTTTTTTAGGAAAAGTTGAAAGTATCAATTTTTCTTAAAAATAAATTTAAAAAAAAAAGATTTTTTTTGAGGAAAAGTTGAAAGTATTAATTTTTCTTGAAACTAAAGTTTTTCAAAAAAAATATTTTGAGAAAAAATTGAAAGTATCAATTTTTCCTTGTACAAAAGCAATCATTTTTTTATTTCTTTTGAATTTTTTTTACTGTTAAATAATCTGACGATGGACCTCTGCAAGTGAAACAATAGTTTTCTTGCATACTCTTGAGGTGAGGGAATTTTCTCAAATTTTTGCTAAAAGTATTAGAGTTAATTGAGAATAATTTTCAACAACTAATTTCTTGATAAATTTTTAAGGCTTATTGGATAACACAAAATTAAGCTGGTACCATCTTTTGATGGGCGTTGTGAGGGTGCTATAACCTTTCTCACACATAATCGAACTCTCGAATTCTGTTCTGGTTAGTAGACCCGAACCTATCCTTTTAGGGACCCTTAAACTTAGGTGTTCCCTGAAAGGGCGGATTCCTTAGGTGACCAATCGCACTTAGATAAAAAAGATTGGTGGCGACTTCTTCAAGCCAAGTCTAGCGATAGATCTCTGGATCTAGACGTTATGACAACCACTAGTTATCGTTCATGCGAGCAAGAATAGTCCTCCACATACTAGTTCACAAATTCCACCATTTGCTGGGTTGGTCTTAGCACTTTTTTCTTCACAGCTTCACTCTTATTTCCCCGTATCGCCCAACATAACACGGTGACTTTGCCAAATGACTCCCTGCTGGTGCTGTTAGCCAGCAGTGACAATCATTCTATCGTAGTCTTTGCCTGTGTAGTCTACCATGCTCCATTCAGTTGTGCTTGGTACCACAAGATGTCAATCTTATCCATACCCAATTAAAAATTGGGCATGTTATTGGAATAGGGATGAGGATGGTATTATATTATGAGTATGGGATAGAGATAGGAATATTTATGATTTTAAATTTTTATTGAATACATATATAAGAATGTGTAATATAACACTTGTCCTTTATCCATATCCTATATATATTTTCATATCTATTTAGTAAATAAATTTTTATTAAATAATATAAATTATTTTTTTAGATTAATTAAAATTAATATATTTTTATTGAAAAAAATATATATCAATATGTATGGTTATAAAAAATTACATAAATATACAATATAAAAATAAAAAAACCTTAAAAAAATAAATTTTAGTTTTAATTTTTTTTAAAAAAAATTACGGATATGAGGATTACTCATATCTATTACATACCTGCAGGTATAGACATGGGAATAGATTTGAAAAATCTATTTGATATAAGTACAGAAATGAGTATAATATAAAAATTCAGAAATATAGATGAAGAATGCTCTATTTTCTTCATACCCTACACATTGACATCCCTATTTACATATTAATACTTTTTTATGGCATGCATCGTGGCTTCATTGTGCATGTTGCTTGATCCATTATTCCCTTTTTTTTTTTTCAAGACATCAAACACCGGTAATAATCGTGACACAGCCTTCAAGTGAAAATCTTTACCTTGCTTGGTACCACTAAATGCCATATCCGGTGTCAGTTGACCCTTCAGTGTTTACATTTCTCTAGTAACAAATGAGCTCCCTTGATACCAACAAATGATATCCACTCATACCATTTCTACCCCTTGTATGTAGTTTGTGTTAGGTGTGGGCCTGAAGCTTCCATCTCTTGGAATCCATTTGTCTTGCCAGACTCGAATACTCTCTTTATTGCCCACGCGCCACCTCACCCCAAGCTCCAAGACCCTTTTCCCCATCCATTTACTCCTCCAGGAAGAGGACGGTATTTTGCCAGGCTCAGCTCAGAGGAAATCAGATTTGGGGAAGTACTTTAAGTACCCTGTAAACTAATGACGAGGTGTTTTGTAATAAACGCCAGCCTTGTTTAGTAATCATGGCTTTGTTAAATAGCTCCATGTCTTTAAATCCCATGCCACCCTTCTTTTTTCCAGTGCACATTCTTTTCCAAGCCATCCAGCAGATCCCTCCTTTTTTCGATGACTATTGCCACCAATATCTACTGATGATCATATTAATTTCATGGCATAGTCCTTTTAGGAACATGAAACATGACATTGCATACCAAGACATTTACTGGAGCACTGACTTTATGAAGACCTCCTTGCTTTCTTGTGATAACCATCTATAGCTTTACTGTTCGATTTTCTTTTCCATCTTTTCCACAATTCCTTTAAATGCTCTCTTTTTCTTTCTATCGACATACATTGGAAGTCCAAGGTATTTTTCAGCATTTGTTGTGTCTTGTACCCCAAAAGAGTTCTTGATCATCTCCACGACATCGGCACTTGTATTTTTTATTAATAAGTATGCCTAACTTTTCGCAATTGGTCTGCTACCTTGAACCTTCTTCGTATACTTCTAGCAAGTTTCTCACGTATTTGCATTCCTCTTGGTTTGTTTTGAAGAAAAGTAAACTGTCATCTGTAAAAAATAAGTGAGTGATTTGCAAGCCTTTGACACTTGC